TTCCCCTGTGGGAGAGGAGCTGGAGTGGGCAAATTATTTACTTGGAGGCCTTTCTTTCTTTTACCTTTGTTATCAGACACAACGCAGAATCACACCGGTTACATGTTCAATAAATGTTTATCTTGTTTGGCCCACGACCTAAAGTGTGTCTTGAGTTTTGGCCCCCTGTGCTAGAACAATGTGAAACTGTTCTGGGACCAGTTAAATCAATAAATGTCATTGGCACTTTTATACATAAAGCCTGGCGTTCCTTTCAGCTGTAGTGTGGAGATTTCTTCTCAACAATCACGATTTGTTTCATGCTATTTCTTTCAAGGAGCTCAAAGAATAAGAAGAAACATACAAGCGGGTTTCAGGATGTGTGGTTGTGCAAAATCTGGCTTCCAAGGAGCAAGACCTGAGTCATTTTGAAGGTGGTGGTTGGCAGCAGTTCCCCGGCTTTCTGAAGTCTGAAAGTTTTCCCATGAACACATTGTTTCATTTTTGTCACTTTAAATTGACCTGTGAATCATTCCTGTTAGCTTTATCATCACTCTAGACCAGGGGTCTGCAACCTTTAACACCCAAAGATCGTTTGGAGCCGGTTTCCACGCAAAGGAAAACACTGGGAGCTGCAAATACTAAATCTAAAATGAAGATAACACTTTATATATTGTTTTTTACTTTTATGCTTTGTGTGAACAACTAAGGTGTGCTGCTTATGAAATCCATGAAGTTACAGAGAAAATTACATTTTATTTATGTAATTAACACATTTTGAACTCTTAAAAAAATATAACAAAAGGAAAGCTGAACTAAAATGATCCAGCAAACAAAAACTGTTGTGAGCCCCCCTTATATTGCCTTTGGGCTGTTGGAGCCTTGACCTGACGTTTAAAAAGTAATTGGAAAAAAAGCTCTATGCTGCTGAAAAAATAGATATTTGCAAAATTCTGCCTAAATATGTATTTTACCTGGTTAATGTGTGTGGCGGGCTGTGAGCTGCAAAGCTACAGCCGGCTTTATGCGCACAGCAACCGTGTGTGAAAAGTGGTCAATAAAGATGCTG